CTAGGACTCTGCTGTCCTTAGGTTATTGATTAACCAGCTTGTCTATCCTTTCCTGGGTCTGTTCCCCCAGCGGTTGGCAGCAGGGGCTGAGTCAGCAGCTGTGGTATTACAGCCACGCTCTACTTCCACGAGCAGAGAGCTAAAATTCTGCTCCAGCTGGGACCCCAAATGCAATGCCGTCCCCAAATGTGTAAGGAATGTTGAACTGTGGTCCTGTCCTCTTAGCCATGTTTTTGGGACCGTTTACCCGCCACTGCTCTTGCTGTATACATAACCTGTTTTCAGACAGGACTGTTTTCATCATTCTTTATCATTTCCAGGGCACCTTTTGATGTGATTGCATTTTCTACTCCAGGCCATAAAAGCTGCAGCAGCATTTAACTCAATCGAGGTAAAAATAATTTGGATAGTTGCACCAGCAAACATTTCAACTATGCAATAGCTTGATTTTATTCAGTGGGATTCAGGAGCCCACGGTTATGTGAGGGAAGGGTTTGTCACAGGAGGCAGGGATGAGTCTGCCTTAAGGAGCCCTGGTGCTCTGGAGAGGAGGGGAGGGGCCCCGGTGCTCAGGAGAGGAGGGGAGGGGCTCCGTGCTCTGGAGAGGAGGGGAGGGGCCCCGTGCTCAGGAGAGGAGGGGAGGGGCCCTGGTGCTCAGCAGAGGAGGGGAGGGGCCCCGGTGCTCTGGAGAGGAGGGGAGGGGCTCCGTGCTCAGGAGAGGAGGGGAGGAGCCCCTTCCTGTCGGCACTTCCCAACCCTGACTGCACAGGCAGTCACCCAGTGAGCTCAGCACGTTTGGTAACTGAGTAAATGAAAGAACAGACCCTATGTATGGCTTTCACCGGTCAAGCCCCCTTTGAAAAGGGCTGTGTCTGCTGGATAGTGGCGGGGCCCATGTGACACGATTGAGGGCCGCGGTGTGTGAACAGGTCTGGTTTACAGCATCATTTCGAAGCCTAGCAGGGTCAACTACGCAAGTGATTGAAAAAGACAGTCAACAAATTCCTGCGGACTTTAATCTTTAAAAATAAGTATGTTTTTTTTATCAACCATTTACAAACTAGGCACCATCACCTTAAAGCCACATATAATCTGTAGATATAATAATTTTCCCTTTTTTCACTGATCTTTCATTTATTCACAGATATTAAATAAATACTTGACCTGTAAAGTGGGACTGCGCTAAATCCATTCCAGATGCACTACTGTTTTTCATCAGACTTTATGCATTTAATGTTTAGGATCCAGAACCTCGGATTCTATCCTAAGAGGGCTCTGCTATGCTTTGCATGTGGTTTGTCCCCACCAAAACCTATGCCAAAATTTGAAATTTGATCCCCAGTGTGGTGGTGTTGGGAGGTGGGGCCTGGAGGTGTCTGGGCCATGGGGGCCTTCATTAATAGACCAACAGGGTCCTTCAGAGCTAAGTGAGTTCTCGCTCTGGGGGAATGGCCTGGTTCCCAAGAGAGCAGGTGGTTAAAAGAATGGCTTCCTCGGCTTCTCTCTCTTGCTTCTTCTCTTACCGTGTGTCTCTTTGCACATGCCCGGTCCCCTTCTGCTTTCTGCCATGGGTAGAAGCAGCATAAAGGCCTTACCAGATGCAACTGCCTGTCTCAAACTTCCCAGTCACCCATATCATGAGCCAAATAGGCCTTTTTTTCTTTTTCAATTACTCAGTTCTGTTACAGCAACACAAAATGGACCAAGACAGGCTTTTATTATTCTACAAGCTGGAGCAGGAGGATGCAGGAGGATGCAGAGAGAAAGCTTTGCTAGGGCACCCACTTATCTTCCTGAATTTAATCAGTAATGATATGCTCTGTTTTCTTCAGTGATAACGTATGATTTGCTAAAGTAGGTTGGGACATTTTCCCTAATATTATAATTAAATCTTTCACACATCCTTATAATTTAGAATTCCTGACATATTTTTTACTTTAGCTTAACTTTAATTCTTTATCCTTTTATTGTAGAAGAGGATATTTTAGGATAGAACGGATAAAGAGCAATTTTATCCTGTTATTTTTATTTTTGTTAAAATATTTTTATCGTAAGCATGCTAGAAGTTAGTCCTAAAGGCCACGGAAGTCAAATTCTACATTGTCTACTTTTTAATCCCTTGAGAGAGAAGGAAACAGCTCCTCCGTCTTCCAATGCACTTGAAGGCTGCCCCCGTCATCTAATCAATCACACCCCCTCATATGACAGGCCACGCTCTGCCTCGGTGGGCTTCCTGGTTCATTTCTGCTTCCGTGTGAGTGGTTTCCATTATGTTGGTTTAGAGGGAAAATATGCACAGAACACAAGACATTCAGGAGATGAATGTTCACCACGGGGCGAATCCATCCATCCTCTTTCTGCGCGTCTGCCTTGGCCACCCAGACTTCTTGCAAATCCCTGTTCTCTGAATTCACAGTGCTTAAGACTCTGCCACACCCAGCAGCACCCTGTTGTCAGCCCTCTCAAAAAACGGGCTTCTTATGACCGGCGTTCTAATGGTTAGCTCTGTGTTTTAAAGCTTTTCCCCAGGCTGCTATCTGCCCTAGGCCTGCATGTGGCATCTGCTCGGTCTTCCTGGTGGTGCCTGGGCGATGTTTGCAGAGGGGTCAGGGAGCCTCACCAACTCTGCACACTACAGGGAGGCCACAACCTGGGCCGACTCACCCCTTGTCCCTACTTTGGGGAGCACAGACAGACGTAGGTCCCTTTTCAAACTGCCAGCTTACGCCTCCTTCCAAACCCTGAGGAGCGATCACCTTCATTCGATGAAAGGGGGAAGCTGACTCAGCCAGGCTATGACCAGGGCCAGGCGGGATGGGAACTGGAGCCAGAGCAGTCCTCAAGTCCTGGGCTGCCTGGTCCTGCAGAGCACTGAGCAGAGCCAAGGAGTCGGGGTGCTGGGCAGACGGGGTAGGAGGGCTGGGGGACCCTCCGAGGACCCCCATGGAATCTGTGAGAATTCTACTTATTTACTCCAAACCTACTGGAGAGTAGAAGAGCCCTTGGGCCTGGGGCAAACTGAAATGCCTGGGGCAAGGCCTTGGACCTGGGGCAAACTGAAATGCATGTTTGGGCCTCCACACTTAAAAAGGGGGAGAGGGGAGAGAGAGAGAGAGAGAGAGAGAGCTTGAGAGAGGGAGAGAGAGAGAAAGTAAGAGCCAGAGAACACATTATTGAGAAAGAGAGGATGGATAGAGAAGGGAAAGAGAACTATTGATTGATTGATTTGGACTGTCAGATTACTGAGGACCCTTCCCGCCCCCGATGTGAGGGCTGCATTTTGTCTGGAGTCTGCATGGTTCTCCTGGTCAGCTTGCAGGGCTGTGTGGAGCAGGCCGGGATTTGGATTCCGTCGGCTGGAATGCACCCCTCCGGCTGGAATGCACCCCTCAGGCTGCACGTTGGAATCTGAATGGTTAGGAAACCACGCCCAGCTTTCTAAAAAAGACAGGCACTGTCAGAAAACCCTGAGAAGCCCAGACCCACTGCACTCACTCCCCTTCTGGGCTGATTCCCTGTGATCATAGCTTGCAACGTGGAGTCTGAGCAACCAAGAGCTGTGATACAAGCTAGGTCACCATAGCGGATGAAAAGGAAGTTTGCTCTTTCTGGATAGTGCACTCAGAGCTCCTGCGGAAAGCCCCAGTGAATGACCAGAATGTATGACTTAATGAACTTCCTAGCCATGTCTTCAGCATGGTCAGCTACAAAAAAACGCGTGGACTGAGGCTGGGCCCACAGTCCTGAGTGAGGACGGGGACTCAGGCTACGGGGCAGTCGTCACAACCTCACCTGCTCAGTGGTCCTGGAGAAGCCACGCTTCATTCTAAAAATGTTGCCATTTTTATAAAATACCCTGTGAATTAACTTTTACAGTAAAACCCCCATCCGTGAGTGGGTTTGAATCATCCTTTGAAATTTCAATGCAGGTTTTTAGAAAGCTTGAGGAAGATTCTGGCCTTCTGTTCGGAAGCAGATTTCAGGAAGGGCAGGTGAAACTGCACACAGACGAACTCAATGGGTGTTTGAATCTGTCTGCTCTGGCCCCTGGAAATGCTTGCATTTTCTTGCGTTTTGCACAGAGAACAGACCCTGCCCCCACTGTCTTCACTGTCAGAGAGCTCAGCAGCAGCCTCCCCCTCACCTCCACTTTGTTCTAGACGTGAAGTTCCCTATAGGCATCTAAAACCAACTCCTTGTTCCAGGAATATTTCACGCCTCCTTCCAAATCTACTCCCGTCTTCCGCTGGTTTTCTGACTGGCTTCCTTCCAACGATCCTGCCCAGCTGCATCTGCCCTAAGGGGCCCAGGATGTCCATGGGGGGCTTCAATGGCCTTCTCCACCTTCATGTCAAATTTTTATCTTTCAGGAGAAAGCTGCTTTCTGATGTGAAAATACTGTGACCCTCACCAGGCAGCTTACCTGAAAGCACTGCTATCTTTCTTCTTGAAGAGTTGAGGAAAATTCCGTTTGGAAAAGTAAACACCAAAAAAAAAAAAAAAACCCTTTTTTCCCCTATTTTTTTTTTTTTTTTTTTTTTTTTTTTTGAGATGGAGTTTCGCTCTTGTCACCCAGGCTGGAGTGCAGTGGCGCAATCTCCTCACACTGCAATCTCCACCTCCCAGGTTCAAGTGATTCTCCTGCCTCAGCCTCCCGAGTAGGTGGGATTACAGGTGCGTGCCACCAAACCCAGCTAATTTTTTTTATTTCTGTTTTTTGTATTTTTAGTAGAGATGGGGGTTTCACCATGTTGGCCAGGATGGTCTTGATCTTCTGACCTTATGATCCGCCCGCCTTAGACTCCCAAAGTGCTGGGATTACAGGCATGAGCCACTGCGCTTGGCCTATGCCCTACTTTTTATACTAAAACCAGAGTTTAGTCTCTACTCACTCATAAGGTGCCCTTCCCGCCCAAAGCTGGTGTGTGCCCTGTGATGGGCAGGCATGAAGATGATGGTGCCCCTACCATGTGCCACCCAAGGAAACAGGGAGGAGGAAGTTAAGAGGGAAAAAAAAGTTCCTTTTATTTGAGATCATGGCATAATTTGGGTGTCCGTGTACGCTGACAGCGTAACGTGGAGTTTAAACTCCAATTCAATTTCCAGCACGGAGTCCTGCAACCGCCTCTTTAAAACGCCTTTGGGGAGGAATGGTCAAAGGATTGGGAAACGCGTCCCAGGCCAGAGGGGAGTGAGGGCAGGGGAAGGCCATGGGAGGATGACAAGGTGAAAACAAGATGCCTGCCGGGAAGCAGTATCCTGGGCAGACGTTGAAAAGAGACGCAAGGTCGGCCGGGGAGGCTGCTGGCATCTGAAACCAGAGCTCTGCATGGAAGTCTTTGCTGGGGCGGGGACTCACGGCGTACTCCACGGGCAGAGCATGTAACAGGAGGGGACTCCTGTTAAATGGTGGCCTCGGAAGATAAAGCGGCTCGGCGAGATGACACTGAAACCCAGACATGCACAGGACGCTGCGGGAAAAGGGCTCCGGTGTGCAGCAGGCTTCTCCTGATGCAGTCACTGCGCCTCACACCATGGTCATGACCTTCAGGGCCGTCGGCTGGAACCTACGGATCTTCTTCTTCAGGGCCTTGGAGGCCTTAATACGGCACAGCTTGGGCACGGGGGACAGGAGTGGCCCCGAGCTGACCGGGACCTCCTGGGTCCAGGTCAGCTCCGCGTGCCCGGCCGCCACATAGCCCAGTGCCAGGTCACAGTCCCTGCTCTGGGCTCCGCCCTCCTCGTCGCTGCTGCTGGATTCATGATCTCCGAATCGGTTGGTGGTGTGGTCACTGGACTCCCCTTCGCTGGTCTCCGGGATGACTGAGGGGAACCTCGGGTCACACTCGGCCGAGTGCTTGGAGGGCTCTGAGTTGCTCCTGGTCTGGGCGTCCTGGCGGACCAGCAAGGGCCGGCCCCGGGCCTGTGGGCCACCTGCTCTTCTGGCCACGGGCCTGGGGGGCCCCAGGTTAGACTCGGGACAGCTGGCCAGGCGGGCCCGGGCTGAGATCTCCATGGTGGACTGCCAGCGGCGATGCTTCCTCCTGGCCACCGAGGTGAGCAGTGCTGCCTCAAAGGGGAACAGGGCTTGGGCTGAGGTCCGGTGGCCCTCCTGCGGGGCCACCGCCACGGGGACGAGGACAGGCATGGGGTAGAGGGTAGACTCGGAACAGGAGCGCCCGGGTGCCTCCCAGGCCAGGGCCGGCCTCCGTGGGAGCCCACCCCTCCCTGGGGACCAGTGGGCCGGGTCCCACTCCAGGGATGGCTGGGGGGCTGCATGGGCTCCCTCAGGCCTCTCCAGTAGAAGCGGCGGCTGCCTTGCAAACCTCAGCACCTTGTCCGTGGGCCTTCTCTTGATTTTTTCGGCCTTGCTCTTGGGGGGACCCATTTTCAGACTGGCAGCAAAGGACGGGTGGGCAAAGTGCCCAGAGGCCGGTGAGGGGCTGTTGTCCAGCATCCTGGATGGGGATATGACGTTGCCTCGTCCACAGTCCTGAGCTGGGGGTGTCTGCTGGGCCTTCAAGCTGGGAGAGGGCCACGCCATGCTCTCCCTGAGGACACAGCTGTTCGAGGGCTTGGAGCCCTCCTCTGGAAGGTTGCCAGGGTGCTGGGGACCCTCAAGAGGCATGGATCCCTGCTGCTGGGGGCCCCTGCCGGCACCTCTGCTCTGAGCTGGCCCTCCTTCATCCTCCCTCCCTGGGGCGAAGACCAGTAGTCGCCCTCCACCATCTGTACTCCAGGCACCCTGCCTCTGTGGGGATGGGGACACTGCATGCCTTAGAGGTCCCTGTTCTCCCCCGCTACCCTTTGCTGGGGTCTCCCGGCCCCACAGATGCAGCAGCCTGTCGATATAGGCTCTGGCTCTGGCCGGACCAGCCTCGAGGACCGGCCCAGTCTGGATGGTGTTCAGACCTGCGGGGCCTAGGGAGGTCTCCCTGGGGAACGAGGGACCACCGCTCTGTGGGGTTTCCTTAGCCAGGGCAAACAGGGGGCTCTGCAGAGCCACAGCGTGCAGGGGGCTGGGGTACGGGTACATCTCCCTGCCGCCCTGGGACACCAGGTCTTGCCGATACTTGGGGTCTGGCATGTGCAGCGGGATGTCCACCCCCTGGCAGAGGAGCCCGAGGAGCTCAGCATCGGCGCTGGCTTTCTGGGGCCCCGTGTCTGCCAGCAGGGCTCTGTCAAGATCACCTAGGAACGAGAAAAATGAACAAACACGTGACACGGAGAGGATTTCGTGTGCTGTTGATTTCACTTCATGCATGAAATGCAGCCAGGAAGGAAGCGCTGCTCATTCACTGCTTGGAGGAACTCCTGGGTCCCACGGGAGACGGCGACTCCAGTCACCGGGGTCCACATCTAGGCACGGTGGGGCCCCATCTGCATCTAGACAGAGGGCACAGGGCCCCGTCTGCGTCTAGACACAGGGTGCGGGGCCCTGTTTGCGCCTGCGGCACAGCCCCCTCAGCTCATTCTCATCCTTCCCCTTGAAGGAGAACGCATAGGGAGTAAGAGTCCTCAGTTCAGCGCCCTCATTTCCCTGAAGGCTTGGAGGCTGAAGAGGCCCCACAGTGGTGGATGGAGCCCGGAGGGAGGCCAGGGGCATGAAGCTAGTCCCTGCAGATGCCCTGGAGGAAACCACGGGGCTTCTCAGTAAGAAAAGACCAAATGGTTGTTACTAAACCAGGCCTTGTATTAGAAATAAAACAAGGCCAAAAATGACATCTGTGCCTTTGGAGACAGTCTGAAGACAACTACAGCCCCTCCCGGGCCAGGGGGTGGGATCCAGGCATGAGCCCTGTTTTCTCCCCACCAGCGCCTTCAACCCCGCTCTCCCTCCAAACACCAGTGGATCTAGGGTTTTTGAAGGATTGTTTTTAAGCTTGCTGATGTCCATTTTAAATACAGGGAAAAGTGCTGTGTGTTAGAAGAGCCAGTGGTGATGCACATGGCCACGTTTGATTCCTGCCTCCATCCAAACCACCACAGGGCCCACGGAGGCCTTCCAGCATCCGTTAGAGCCTGGGGGCACACCCATGTGGGGTCCCTGGCTCTGCCCTCAACAGCTGGGGACTGCACTCCGTCATCCCCTGTGCCTGAGATGAGACCCCCACCTTCCCTGGCGGTTTCTTACCTGTAGACACCGGCCTGGGCCAGAATGTGCCCCACGGCTGGCCTGCATTCTCCATGCTGCCCCGGGGCCTGGTGCCCTCCTCGGTAGCCTGGGGTCTCCACGCTGGCACAGTAGTCTCATCAACCGACCGGGGCCTCCAGTCCCCCATGCTGGGCCTGGCCTTGGGGGCCTGGGCCATAGGCAACAAACTGCCCAGCGAGGGAGAGATGTGGTCACTGCAGACAGACGCACAGGACGTGGACAGGGAGCAGGATCCACCGTCGCTCATCTCGTAAAAGCCTGGACACAGCAGACAAGGCAGGTCAGTGACTCCCATCCAGAAGAGCCTGGGGACCCCTTTGCTCCTGAGCTTGTCACGGCACAGGGGGGCCCAGGGGAACCCCTGAGCTGAGGCTACCAGAGGCTGTGGGCCGTCGTCCACACGGCCGGCCTGGGAGAGTGTGGCTCAGGTGAACATGTTCAGGATTCTTCTCGGGGGCTGTCAGAGAGTTGATGAGAGTCCGCTCCACCCCCACTCGGCAGCACTGGCCCTCCCTTTTCCCGGCAAGTGGTCCCTTTAGTCCTGGGTGGTCGATGCCTGCCTAAGGTGTGGCCTCTTCCTCTGGATTTCAGCCTGTTTAGGACAGGCCCCTGGCCCCTGTCTCTCTCTCTTCCCTGGCGCCTGCCAAGTTGAGAAGGAGACCAGGCTGGGGAGGTGCTTCAGCCCCAGGCCTCCTGAGTCCAACAATGTCACTTAGACCACAGTGTGATTTTTGCAAATTAAAAAAATAAGAGCGAGGTAGCCAATTAATATATATGCCCTGAGAAAGGCTTCAGTGTTGCCTCCTAACTTTCAGATCAGCCTGATGAAGCGGCCGCCTCCCTGCACGGACACCGGGAGAGCAGTGGAACGGAATTTCAGCCCGAGAGGGACTGGCGGGACAGGCTTCACCTCTGCCTGGGCTGCATGCCTGCCCCTGTGTCCAGGAGGTCAGAGCACCCTGGTACCTGAGCTGGGCCTGCTGTCGCTGTCCAGGGCCTCCCCGGAGGCTGTGCCCACATCCAGCTGCAGCTTGCTGATCTGCAGGTCCAGCTGGTCCAGGTGGGTCTTCAGGCCGATGTCCTGCTGTCTCAGCCGGGACTGAGAAGGGAAAGAAGAGAAAGGGAACTATTGTACCTACGGAAACCAACACTTAAGGCTCAAAGGGGTGAACCATGCATTGTGAATGTAATTTGAACTCCCAGAGTCCACACGAAACACATCTTCTAAATCTGGCTGCTGCCCCTGCTCATTCTGAAGCCATTTCCTTGCTCCACCGTCAGAAAAAGAAAGGTCTACTGACCCATTCCCCCCACACACATACGCACACGGATTTTCTCCAGTTCAGGCTGCTTCACTTATCCGCACTTTCCAAATTACATTTCTTTATAAGGATACAGTATACTACAGCTTATGAGATTGAAATCAGGATCAAAAGCAACACCTCCTTTTGGCAGACAGGAACAACCTGCACCGTCTATTTGGCTGCGTTTTTCAGCCTGCATAAGGGTTTACCCTCCTGTGGTAATGCTTTGCGCATCTTGTGCCTGGGTGCGGTGGCGTCCTTTTACTCGGCCGCCTCTGGGCTCCTGGTGCCTGCAGAGCACAAACCTTTTGACTTTTCAAGAAGGTAAGAAAGTCCCTTGGAAAGAAAGAAAAGCTCCTCCTTCACTAATAAGTCCCTTCCCCTTCCCTGATAGAAGAAGTAACATTTTGAAATGTTACAGGCTTTGGCAGAGCTACCAGGGGAGAAGGTTCTCAGCAAAACATGGAAACTGTCAGCTTTACCTGGAATAAATGCAGTGTGAAAATCAGCCTTCAGGATCTTTTGTTTTGTTTTGTTTTGTTTTGGAGACAGGGTCTTGTGCTGTTGCCCAGGCTGGAGTGCAGTGGTGCGATCACCGCTCACTGCAGCATCGACCTCCCCAGGCTCAGGTGATCCTCCCTCCTTAGCCTCCCAAGTCTCTGGGACTACAGGCATGCACCAACATGCCCTGCTAATTATGTATTTTTTGTAGAGATGGGGTCTTGCCATGTTGCCCAGGCTGGTCTCCAACTCCTAGGCTTAAGTGGTCTACCTGCCTTGGCCTCCCAAGGTCCTGGGATTACAGGCATGTGCCTGGCCAAGGGACTGTGTATTTAGAAGTTTCCATCACAGCCCTGCCCTGAGAGGCTGCGCCTTCTCCCGGCCTCAGCTTCCCCAACTCTAAAAAGCTTATTATGAGCATGTGTGTGTGTACATGTGTGTGTGTTTTTCTTTCAATTCTAAAACATTTCTTGTTTTGATGAACAATCAACATTAAGGCAAATAATTAATGAATGTAATTATGTGGTTGGTTCTCTTAAGAAAATGATTAATTCTATTTCAAATTTTACGTGGGAAAGGAGCAGTTCCCCTGAGTCCCATAACCTGGGCCTCAGGGAATCACTTCAGTAATTTCCACAATATGAGAAATCATTACAAGACAGAGGCAGGTTGCAATGCTTTCCTGTTCTGATGAGAGAAAGACTTCTCCGATTTTCCAAACGCAAGTGCCCACTATCAGCATGGATGAGGGAATGGAGGCCGGGCTCGACCCAGCGCACAGCTTCTGTGCCAGGAGCAGACCTCCTCCTCCAGGACCCAACTCCGGGGCCTCCCAACAACCTCCAAAGTTTGCACAGTGACAGAATCTGAAGCCATAATATTATCTGTGAATGTGAACACGGCAAAAACCAATCCTGAATTTAATCAAAACGTTATGCTTCCAGCATCACCCAGCTTCATGTAAACATACTGGTTTCTGACCCTGCACATTTTCACACAGGTAAACCGCTATCCAAGTGAACAGCACCACCAACCAAGCCTGCGCAGCACACACAGGCGGGCTCTCCCACACCAGTTATGCAAAGAGGAAGCCTGGATCCAAACAAAGGGGCTGGCGTGGATTCTCATAGCCCATGATTTTTCTTTTTCCTGTCGTAAAACAAAACCCAAGGTACCGACAGAAAATCAAGTTCCTTGGTGAGGCCACACCTCAACGTTTAAAAGGATCTATGTGCCTTCTCCTCTTCCAAATCACACTCTCCTGCACCCCAGCCAGCTTTGTCCTCCAGCCCCCTTCCCGCCCCCGCGTCTGTGCTGGGTTAATTGCTTTGTGATTAATGTTTGGCCAGCCAGGCCTTCAGTTGCTGGTTTCTGATTAATGGTCTAGGGGCTGCAGGACGCACAGAGCTCTCAGGCACTCACAGGTTATTTATTACGTCCTCAGGTCCCCTCTGCGTCTGCAGGACTCCACCATTCAGGATTTACTCCCTGCCTGTAACCCTGACCACTGTCCCTAACCCCGACTGCTGTCCCTAACTTGGGGTTTGTATGACTGTGCTTTACATTAACTCTTTCTTAGGGTTAGACTTTGTGCTCACAGTCACAAAATACATGCGGCCAGGAAGGAGGAGAGTCCACTGCAAGGCCAGCCCCAGAGTGTGATCTCCACGCATGTCCACGATTGGACTGACTCACTCCACAGCAGCAAGCGAGCCCTGGGTGGCCTCCGTGCTCTACTTCCCTCTGCAAGCGTTCAGGCTAACTCCAGGCGGCCCTCTGCAAGCGTCCAGGCTAACTCCAGGCAACCTTGGCCAAAGTGTGCTCTGGGGGCATCTGTGCCAAACCCCTGGGCCTGGGGAAGGGGCAGGAGGGCCTGGTATAAAGGTGCTCATACCAAGCCTCTCCAGGCAGTGGGATCAGCTGGGCATACCTGCAGACCCCAGGCTCCAGGCCCCAGGCCCCACTCATTTCCTGAGACCCTACCGGGTAAGCCTGGAAACCTGCATTTTAACAAGCTTCCCAGGGACCACAAAAGTTCCTTATGACAACAAAAAGTTTGAGGACTTCTATTCCAGGGGGTGATGTTAAAAAAAAAAAATAGGCTAATCCCTTTCTTTGAAATGCATTCTTTATGCACTGCAAGAGAATGACCTGATTTCCACGTGCTGTGCCTTTTCCGTGTGCAAGTCAACAGTCCAGCCATCGCAACACCTGTATGGCACATGCGGAGGCTCAGCATGAAAAAGGCCTTACTGTTCAGGATATGGAGATGGGATCTGAAACACCTCCTTTCTATCCCTGAGAGCTAGAACGCACAAAGGAAACGTTCTATGCCTGAATTCCAAGGCTATGCCCTCCATTGTGGAGAGAGGTAAATGCTATTACCTAAGTTTAAAAGAGGCCTGTCAATCAACAGCAAAGGGGTCCCCGGTTCACAGACTGGACTCATGGATTTAAAAGCACTACCGAAGCCTTGCAGGTTTCTGGGGATGGCTGGCCCTAATGCGTGGCCTTGAGCAAGTTCTCACCCTGCCTCCCTTGGTTCCCCTGTGTGTTCACAAAGCAAGCACAGTCGGCCCAAGGAAAATGCCGGGTATCAAGTTTATGCTGCAGAATCAGACGTACAGCTTGCTCCTGCAGCATGGAATGTGGGAAGCTGCCAGGGAAAAGGAATCGTTGCAAGCTGCCACTTTTAGAACAAGTCACGACCAGCAATGTCAAGATGGGGAAATTCTTCCGGATAAGATTTCATTGCAGACTCCCGGAGCTCTTCTGCATCTTTCCCCTTGTGGAGACAGTACCCACTGGTGAAGGATGGGGTTTTTGGTCTACTCGTGGGCTTCGAGTTCCAGGAAGTAGATGCAGTCTTTCTATCTAGGGCTTGTTGGGGAACCCAACCCTTATGAATATGGGAATGGCCGGCACTTCTTGGGAACGACAACCTTCCTCACAAACATACATGAGGACGCAAAGTGAACCCTCTCTGGATTGGCCACGCAGCAGCAAACCCACTTGGGTCGGAGGGCATGGGGATCTCATCAGCTTAGAAACTCAGAACAGGAAGGTCCCAAATTCTGAAATCATTTTCCCTTTTGTCGCAGCAATAAAAGCCACTCATTTATTTATTCAACAGAATCCTACTAAGCACCGCCTACTGCACTCTCCTTTGTGACACAGCAATTAAAAAGGTGCAGCACATTGCGATAAGCCTTGAAGTGATGAGTGCTGCTATTTTCCTGACTGTTTAAATCCCTGGAAATGCCAACAATCATTCTCACCTGAGAATTCCTGTAGGCTAAAGCTGCTCAGGGCCTGATAAATGTTCTTCCTGCCTTCACACCTGAATGATGACCAATGGCCAGGTGAGCACCAGGGTGGGCGGAGGGGACCCTGAGTTAGGTGGGAGTTGCTGGAGTGTGTAACTGCTCCAGCAAGCAAGGCTTTTCATTGTATTCAACACTATAGAACTGCTATCACTCCTAATGTTTTTCCCTGTAAGAAAAATGTAAAAGTGTTAAGCCCTGGGCTGATGTCACACAAATTCAATTATTCTTCTCTTTTGATCCCATAATCCATCCCGAGAACAAAGTTTCAAGACAAAGTCTGCATGTTCCTTCTGGTCCCCACATTAAAAAAATAATAATAAAATAAACAAAAAACCTGTTTGATCTTCTCTTCCAAAAGGCTACTTGTAATTAGAGGCTGAGCACTTGCAAGTTTGATCTGTATATTTCTTAAGCCAAGTTAATCATCACCCGCACTCTCACCCCCTCGACAGAACAGTTGAAGCCAGCATCTCAGCAGCACCCCCTTCTCATCACATGCGTCTAACACATCTGTGGCTGTCGCGTGCTGAGCTGAGGTCACGCAGAAGCTGAGATTGTGTCTGGGTGCAAACACACAAATGACCTAAACACGCGGTCAGGATTTGGTCACTGGGTGAGTAAACAAAGTCTGTACACCAGCTACTTTCCTCTCAGGAGGCATCAGGGCAGAGTTGGGGGCCCAGGTTAATCCCACACAGTCTGCCACCTCCGTCTTCCACAAGGTCAGGAGATAACCGGGATCCTGGGAGGCATCCCAGACACTGGGATTCTTTAATCCAGAAGGGTTTGCTACTTTAACAACCTGGCTGAGCCAGCTAGGCTGACGGTCATGCCGCAGCTTCACGTGGGCAACGTTCAGAGGCAGCAACTTTTAACAGAACAGACTTAAATTTCTAATGTAAAAGAAATTTCACTTAGTGTAATAGAGGTAACACGAGTAAACAGATATCTTTCTCCAGCCTTTTTAGTTTGTCTTTAAGAAAATACAGCAACTATGAAAACTCTTGTGCGTTGTTTCCAGTAAATTTTACAAAATCATACAATAACATAATAAGCAGAGGGGTAATGACTGGAGTTTCTTTCATTGTGTGAAAGGAGGGGTTCAGAGCGCCCAGGTAGTGCTGAAGAGGGCCGGTGGCAAGGAAATCAAAGAGTCTTTCCACTGGATCAGAGGACACGCCTCTTCTTACAGGTCAGGTCACATTTTAAAGTTGAAGAGGCCTTTGTCAGCGACATGCTTTCCCCCAATACTTTATTACAGCGACGCGACCTGTAAGAAACGTCAGCACATTCCTGAGGACAAGTCGGGGTGCGCTTTACCACGCGGACACTGTTGCCCCTAACCCAAGACAGCAGGGGGGACCTGGTACCCAGGGAAGTGATGCCAGGATCCCGAGCCCACCTCCGCCCGGGGAAAGCCGGTCAGTACCCGTAGGTCAGAACAATGCTGTAACTAACCAACAGGGTGTCTCCCCCAAATCTGCCAGTTTCGGGATCCTGGCGTGGGTGAGTGCACATCCACGCAGGGTGGAGCGCGGACTGCAGCCCCGGGCAGTTTTCAGGGTCCTCATCTGTGCGCTTCACCTCTAGGCACCTGCGCGCGGGGCCTCCGCGTCCCCCTCCTTGGAGACCCAACTGCATTCCAATCAAATCCCAAAGGACGTCCCCTCCATCCATCAGACGCCCCCCTCCCACTAACACACAGTCTCGGCCGGCACCGGGAGGGAGCAGCGCCTGTGGCCCGCAAACCCCGCAGCCCCGAGTCCCGGCGCCCGGTCCTTACCAGCTGTTCCTGCAGCGCGGCCAGCGCCGCCTCCAGCTGCTGCTCGGGGCCGTGGGGACCGTGGGGACCGCAGGGCGCGGCGGGCGCGGGCGGGGGCTGCAGGGCCAGGGCGCCCCGTACCCGCTCCTGCTGCGTGGCGCGCAGCCCCTGGAGCTCCTGCAGCCCCGCGAACGCCGCGCGCAACCTCGCGCCCAACCTACGGCGGTCCCAGCTCGCGGGCCCCGAGGGTCCGCCCGGCGTCCACATCTCCCGGGCAGGGTCCCGGCCTCCCGAACCCCACGAGCTGCGCCGGAGGCCCAGCGCGCGCGGATCCCGAGCTGTGTCGCGGGTCCTCCTGCGCCTCCTCTCTCCGCCCCTGGCTCCACAGGTCGCCAAGGTGGGCTGGAATCTGCGGCCGGTCGCTGAGGGCGGGGTCTGCACGCGCCCCGAGGTCACCGCGGCTGCCCCTGGGCCCGCCCCGCAGACCCCCCAGGGTCCCTCGCCGACTGCGGGCAGGGCGGGCGCACCCAGACCCCGGGGCCAGCTGAGCGCGTCCGTGACTTCAGCGGGGAGGGCCAGGCGGGAGGAGGAGCCCGGGGGAGAGGGGCAAGGAGGCGCAAGTGGAACAAAGGCGGAGAAAGGACTTGTTAAGGTTTTCAAATGTTTATAAAGATAAATTATTGGGACATTATCACATTGCAAGGACCGTGTTACCATTACAATCGCAGTAGAGATTTCAAAACCCTGCAGTTTGGAAACCGCACCTTGCTTTTTTTTTTTTTTTTTTTTTTTTTTTTTTTTTTTTTTTTTTTGAGACAGGGTCTTGCTCTGTCGCCCAGGCTGGAGTGCAGTGGCGCGATCTCATCTCACTGCAACCTCCACCTCCCGGGTTCAAGCGATTCTTCTGCTTCAGCCTCCCGAGTAGATGGGACTACAGGCACGCACGACTGTACTCGGCTAATTTTTGTATTTTCAGCACAGACGGAGTTTCACCATGTTGGCCAGGCTGCTCAGCTTGCTTTTTAAATTTTTAAAATAATAGCTTAAGATGCAGTTCACATACCATAAAACTCACATTATTTAAGGTGTACAGTTCCACAGTTTTTTAGTATATTAACGAAGTTGTGTTCACTACCCTCAAAAGAAACCCTGTTCTCATCGGTAGCTACCCCCATTCCCTCTCCCACACCCCCACACATAGAACCACCACCCTGCGGTTTCTGGAGGTTCATGGAAATGGAGTCACAGGCCAGGTGGTCTCTGTGGGGGCTCCTTTCGGCAGGTGTTTTCAAGGTGCGTCTGTGCTGCAGATTGCGTCAGAACTTCATTCCTTTGTGTGTCTAAATAATATTCCACTGTATGGCAGTGCCAAATTTTGTTTATCCATTCATCTGTTGATGACATGTGAGTTGTTCCATTTTTTAGCGATCACGAATAATGCTGCAAGGACATTCCTGTATGAGTTTTTGTGTGGCAATATGTTTTCACTGTACCTAAGAGTGGAATGGCTGGATCGTAGGTGACTACTGTGCTTAACCTTGTGAGGAACTGCCAGGCTGCTTCCCAAGTGGAATCCCACCAGCCAGTGGGGTATGAGGGTTCCATTTTCTCCGTGTGCACACCAACCTCTGTCTTTAGTCCAGCAGATGGGAAGTGGTATCTCCCTGTGGTTTTGATTTGTGTTTCCCTAATGGTTAAGGACGTTGAGCATCTTTTCATGTGCTTGTTGTGTATTTCCTTTGGAGAACTGTCTATTCAGATCCTTGGCCCATTTTAAAATTTAGGTTGTGTTTTCGTTATTGAGATGTGAGTAGTCAATATACAATTCCCTTATCAGACGTGATTTGCACTTTCCTTATGAAATACAAGATTGGCAAATAATTTTTCCATGTTGTGAGTTTTTTTCTTGTTCTTGATAGTGTCCCTTGCAACAAAAAATGTTTATAATTTTGATGAAGTCCGGTTTATCTACTTTGTTGTTGCTTATGCTTTGGATGTCCTAACAAACCATTGTCTAATCCAAAGACAAAGTTTACAGCTATGATTTCTAAGATTTTGCTGTAGTCTTAGCACTTACATTTAAGCCTTTGTTCTATTTTGCATTAATTTCTGTATATGGTGTGAGGTAGGGGCCCCTTCTTTTACATTTAGATACCCAGTTGTCCCAGTACCATTTGTTGAAATGACAATTCTTTCCCTATTGAATTGTCTTGGGACACTTGTTGAAAATCAGTTGATCCAGAAATCAGTTTCTGGTTTCTCAGTTCCATTGCATTGGAGTATATGTGTATTCTTATGCCAGTACCACACTGTTTCAATCATTGTAGCTTTGTAATAAGTTTTGAGGTCAGGAAATGTGAGTCCTCCAATTTTTTCTTTTCCAAGATTGTTTTGGCTGATCTGTATCTTTTGATCTTCTTCTTCTTCTTCCTCTTCTTCTTCTTCTTCTTCTTCTTCTTCTTCTTCTTCTCCTCCTCCTCCTCCTCCTCCTCCTCCTCCTCCTTCTTCTCCTTCTTCTTAAGACAGGGCCTAGCTGTGTTACCCAGGCTGGAGTGCAGTGGCACGGTCTCAGCTCATCCTCCACCTCCCAGGTTCAAGCAATTCTCGTGCCTCAGCCTCCTGAGTAGCTGTGATTACAAGCACATGCCACCACAGCTGGCTACTTTTTGTATTTTTAGTAGAGACAGGGCTTTGCCATGATGTCCAGGCTGGTCTCTAACTGCTGACCTCAGGTGATCTGCCTGCCTAGCCTCCCAAAGTCCTGGGATTACAGGTGTGAGCCTCTATTTCTGGCCAGCGTCTTTTGATTTCTATATGAATTTTAGGATCAGATTGTCAATTTCAGCAAAGAAGCCATCTGGGATTTGGATGTGAATTGCAACTAAATCTGTTTACCTATTGCAGGTATTGCTACCTTAAGGTTAAATCTTCTGAACCATAAACATAGGATGTCTTTCCATTTATTTAGGTCTTCATTAATTTCTTTTGACAGTGCTTTGTAGTTTCCGCATAGAAGTCTTGTACTTTCTAAGTATTTTATTATTTTTGACACAATTGTACATGGAATTGTTTTCTAATTTTATTTTCAGAACATTCATTGTTAGTGTATAAAAATTAAATATTGATTGGAAGGCCAGGCATAGTGGCACACACCTGTAATCCCAGCACTTTGGGAGACTGAGGCACGTGTATCACTTGAGCTCAGGCGTTCCAGAGCAACCTGGGCACCATGATGAAACCCTGTCTCTACCAAAAATATAAAAAATAGCAAGGGTATGGTGGCATGCGCCTATAGTTTCAGCTACTCAGGAGGGAGGCTGAGGTCAGAGGATCCATTGAACCCTGGAGGTCAAGGCTATAGTGAGCTGTGTTTGCACTACTGAACTCCAGCCAGACAACAGAGTGAGACCCTGTCTCAAGAAGAAAAAAGAAAAGATTCTTGTATATTGATTCCTGTAACTTTGCTGAACTTGTTTATTAGTTCTAATAGTTGGGGTTTTTTTTGTGTGTGTGTGAATTTCTTTGTACTTTCTACCTAGAAGCTCGTGTCATCTGCAAATAGAGATAGTTTTACTGCTTTCTTTCCAGGATGGGTACCTTTTACTTCTTTTACCTGCCTAATTGTTCTGGCTACAACATCTAACGCCATGTTGAACAGAAAGGGCAAAAGAAAACATTCAGTCTTTCCTGTTAAGTATGACGTAAGATGTGGGTTTGTCTTAGATGCCTTTTAAAGATAGAGATGAAGATAGCGAGAGAAAGAGAGAGAGACTGGAGGTACAGATGTTCGTAATTTTTACATAGTCTTATTTATTATTAATCCTTTTGTGCCCTTTTGAAGAAATGTTTACTCACCCAGGTTACTGAAGACATTACTTAATGGTATCTTCTAGAAACCTTATCATTTTGCCTTTCTTATCTAGATCTAGAATCCACCCAGAATGGCTTTTCAGGTGCTGTATTTGGAGGGAGTGTCACAATTTACTTGTTTTTAAACACATATTCCAGTGCAATGTCTATTGAAAAGTCTTGTCCTTTTTGAACCCTTGCATGTTGCTGCCACCTTTGTCCTGAGTAAAATGTTTGTGTATATTCGGGAATGTTCTGGGTCTTCGTCTCTAAATGGCTAGTGCATCTGTCTGTTCTTGCACTTGTCATAATTATTTTGTCTTTAAAAGAAGTGCTGATATTTTGTAGAGCAAGTTCTCCCACCATATTTTTCAAGGGTGTCTTGAATATCTTTGGTACTTTGCTATATTACATAAATTTTAGAATCAGCAAGGAAATAAATACCAGAAGTCTACTGTATTTTGATAGGACTCCATTGCCTCTGTAGTCTATCCGGGGAGAAATTACGTCTTTAGAATCTTGAACATTCTATTACTAATCCACAGACAAGGAATACCCCTTTATTTATAAAAGTTTTCTTCTTTTTCTTAATACTTTTAGGTTCGGGGTACATAGGGCGATTTGTTGTATAGGTGCATTGCATGCCACAGGGATTTGGCATACAGATTATTTTGTCACCCAGGTAATAAGCATAGCACTGGATATAAAGTTTTTCCTTCCTCACCCCTTCTCCCACCCTCTACTCTCAAATAGGCCTTGGGGACTGTTCTCTTCTTTATGTACATGTGAACCCAATGTTTAGCTCTCACTTATAAGTGAGAACATGTGGTATTTGGTTTTCTGTTCCTGTATTAATTCACTTAGGATAATGGCCTCCAGCTCTATCCATGTTGTTGCAAAGGACATGATCTAGTTCTTTTTTATGTCTGCGTAGTGTTTCATGGTATATATGTATATAGAGATTTCTTTTAATGTCTCTAATTATTATTTTACAACTTTCTATATAGAAAGATGTGGCAGTCTTGTAGAGCTCTCATTAGATTTGTCTCTACTTTCCCCTCCTCCTCCTTCTTCTTCCTTTCCTTCCTCCTCCTCCTCCTCCTCTTCTTTTTTTCTGACGCTATTGTTACCAGAAAGCGGTCTTGATTCAGACCCCAAGAGACACTTCTTGGATCCCATGCAGGAAGGAATTCAAGGCGACTGGTAGAGTGCAGTGAAAGCAGCAAGTTTCTTAGATACTGCTCCATTGCGGAGTCTGAGTTTGATGTCCTCAGAAAGCAAGTGGAGGAACGCACCTCTTCATTTTAAGTTTTTTTTATACGGGGTCTTGCTATGTAAAGTCTATATTAAGCCGTGACTATATGTGGGTGGGCTGACAGCATGACAGAATTATTCTGTTGATTTAAAGAAAACTATTCTTGACATTTCAGTGTGTCAGTACATTGGAGCATTACTCTAATTATCTTGAAGGCATATGTTGGTGCAGATATTGGGACACCTGGACTTTCTGTTGTGGTAGGAGTTTGTCTTGCAGGCATGACCGAGCTGTTTCCTTGGCTGTAAACGTCTTCGGACTGTGAGGCAGGACAGGAGTTGGTTTTAAAATTGAGTTACACTGCCTCTCCTGGACTCCTGCTTCCCTAATGCTATTGCCAGTTACCTTTTTAAAATTCATTTTATTTTGGTTGAT